AACTTAATTTTCATTTTATTTTATTTCAGAATATGATTAATTCTAATGCACTTGTAAGTGCATCGGATTTTTCATCGGGAACTTGTCCTTCGATGCATTCATTGCATCTTTTCAGACATCCAAAATAATCTTTTCTTTTTCTTTTTCAGCCTCGTTTAGAGTTTCTTTTTTCAGTGGGTAGCGGATAGATCTTTCTTTGGTTTCTTCACAAAGAAAGGTCTACTTTAGGGATGCGACCCTGCCCTACGCGAGCCATGATTTTCTCCTATCTCCAATAATTGGGAGAAAATTATGTCCTTACCTTGAATTTCACCCCACCAACCATCACTCCTCCCCTACTTCTTTATTTTTCTTTTTGTTTTAGGTTTCTTCTTGTTCTAGGTTTCTCATAATAATGGAGTATCCAAGAGGAGAGGGATAATGGACTAGAAGAAGACTGAGTTACGGTAACCGGGTTTTATTTTAATTTATTTATTACTTTTCTATTTACAGGATGAATTATAAAGACGATACAATATTCCATCCAAGAATAATAGGAAGCAGATAAGAAGAGGACCATAATTATAGTAAAGGGTAATATAAAATAATTACTTGCAAAAATAATTAAAGTATTTTAATTCTTTTTATTTTATTCTTTCTAGTATCGTATATGTATGATAGTTATTTTTAATGTATCCTCTCTTTTTCTACAGATATTATCAAATATCTTCTTTTTTTATACAGGTACCATCTAATATTATATATACATTTATTTTTATTATAATATATTTTAGATAAATTAAAAATTATTAAATATAAAATATTCGCAACTTGTAATTTTCGTAGGTGCATATATTGAAATTATTCTAGAGTGTGTTACTTTTAGGTACATCGATGATTTTTTTGAATTTCTTTTTAGGTTACACTACTTGTTTATCATTTTATATTTTTTAGTATTAAAATTTTTCTCTGATATTCTCAATAATAATTCTAAAGATATTTTTATGGTGGTACTCTTACGGAGGGGCCTAAGAGTTAGGTTCATTCCATTGAATTATATTCGGATGTGAGCATCTTTAGGATGCACATCCCTCTTGGGTCTTCAGAAGCGGTTACCTCCTCGTGGTTAGACCCGGGCAATGGTATTTTACTTTCCATGTAATGTTTATCATATTTTTATATGCTTTACATTCCATTGCAAGTAAAATCCAGCCAAAGACCGCTTACCATAAACATTATAATTGTAATTAGTTTCTTTTAATTTTCCAATGAACATAATTTTATTCCTTTCCTTTTCTCCTTCTATCCATTTCATCTCCAAAAACTAATTGCCTTCTAATGTTTTTTAATAACTTTTATATTATTACAGGCATTACACCGATAAAACAAGAAATCTTTTATTGTAATATTTATTTTATTTTATTCCAGGATAGAATTATTTTTTTTATAATGCATATTTTATTTTTAAATGCAGGTTTCTACTATCTGACAATATGTCGATTTTAAACAAGTCTGCAATCGAAAGGGAATATCATATCTTTCTAAAGATAATTTTGTTACAGAGGACAATGAGTCAGTCTTTAAGTGAATTTCGAAGAAGAAGGTACTCCGAGAATATATTTCGTACTTTTAAACAATAATCCATACTTCTATCGATTAATTAACAATTATTTTAATATTCTAATACACTCTACTTATATTACAAATAATTTAACACTTGGAATTTAATTACTGCGCATGTGCAATAAATTAAATAATAAAATCCGAACGTTATAATATTGAATCTTCTTTATTAGAATTATAAGTACCGTTGGACATATTCTCGACTTAAAAAACAAAAACATAAACAACTTTCTAATTAATGTTTTGTTATAGAGAACAACTGCTTAGTCTATAAGTGAATTTCGAAGAGGAAGGTACTCCGAAAATATATTTCGTACTTTTAAACAATAATCCACACTTCTATCGATTAATTAACAATTATTTCATTATTTTAATATACTTTAATTATTTTTCAGATTGTTTCAACGCATATACATTAATTTAAACGTTACATACCTATTAACATACTTTGAATAGAAAATAATTTTAATATGAATTTATTT